TTGAGTCCATCTTGAAGTGTTTTCTGAGAGACACTGAGAAGCATCACTGTTTTCTCTGGAAATTTAAAGTGTTCACACTTTAAAGTGTGAACTTGAGGGAGCTCAAGGCCATTCCCTGGCACAATCTGCAGGGTAATTTACTAGATATTCTGCGGTTTGATCCGGTGTCGTGGTCATGATATCATCACAGATCTGCCCACATTCTTGCATGAACGGAATAGCTGTCCATGCAAGAAAAGGGGAGGGCAATGAACTATCAAATGCAAGCTGCCTTTGAACCCCATCTGGACCTGGTGGCGGGCTACAGGGACATCTTAAAGTATTAGCATCCAAATAAGAATAAAATAGAGGCCTTGGTTATATCAACCAGGGGTTGCAAAGCTGTGAAGTCATTAGGAAAATTTTATCACCCTAGCCCACTGGGATCTTTGTGGTTTCAGAGACCACACTGTGCAGGGTAAAAAAGCTGCTGGGTAGCTAGAGGCTTGCCACTTGCTTTGGAGCTGTGGGATCCAAGCTTGCCTCCGGGGGGGAGGGGCACGTTTAGAGGACTAACAGCTAGTTGGCCCAGGCAGGAATCAGGGAATCAAATCTAGTTTGATGTTTGGAAGAGTTGAAGTGGGTCAGAAGAGTCTAAGTAGAACAGCGGGGACAGGCATGAGAGCATGTGTCTGCTCAGCTCTGTGGACCCCTGCGGTGTGAGGTGAAATGGCATGGATGGCCTGCGTGACTGGACAAGGGCTACCCTTTGAATGTGAAACATCTCCAATGCTCTCCTGTGTCTGAACACTCCATCCCCAGCTGGCCGTGGGGGCTGTTTTGGAAGGCTGTGGAACCTTTCAAAGGTAGTATGTTGCATCTTGAGTCTCTGGCCCCCTTCCAGCCTGCTCTCTGCTTCCTGACTGCAGGATGCAATGTGACCAGCCACTAGTGACATGCAGCACTGCCATCTCCACCATGATAGGTGGGGCTCCTTCTTAAGCTAAGATAGTCCCTTCCTCCCTTAAGTTGCTTCCTTGTTGGAGATACTGTCACTGGACTGACAGTGCTGGGAGCAACCGTCCTGGTGTTTACAGAGTGCCTTTCTTTGTCTTCCTGTGCCCATGGTGGGGCTATGTTTCTTAGACCCTTCTGCCGTCAGGTGAAGCCATGTGACCAAGTTCTAGCCCATAAGGTATACCCAGAAGAGAGACTTATTTCCAGACCCAGCCCATAGCAACCTCTTGCAGGACCCTCAACATTCTCTTTATACGTTTGCTCAAGGACATCCTAGGGCTGCAACATGCGGAGCTCAAAGATGGAAATATCCTGGTGACCACTTAATGGAAAACTGTGTGGACAGTTTTGTGGCCAATGAACCCATTATTATTATGTTAAGGCACTGAAGTGTTGGGGGCATACTTGTAATGGCTCTTAACCTGTTCTCATAAAAGCCATAATGGCCACGATTGATTGGGTCCTATCTCAGTGTATTTACACACAAGTCTATGGCAGTGGACCCCATCCATATACTAGAAGAGGACATTGGAGTCTTCCTGGCAGCAAGTGAAGAACACAGTATTCTGCTCCCCAAATGCAGAATCCAAGTACCGAACTGTGTTATACTGGCTCTCAGGGTGAAAGGAGTGGATGAAAAATAGGTAGGCACAGAGACTGGTTCCTGCAGTGTTACTGCTGGGAGCCTGGGAGATGGGGAAACAGGATATGGTCCACACATAATGCAAGGTGTCTGAAGTGCTCAGCAATACAGGTGTATAGTGAGTGCTGGCTCTATCTATCTATCTATCTATCTATCTATCTATCTATCCATCTATCAATCATCTATCCATCTGTCTATCTATCTGTCTACCTAATTTCTGTATGTGTATAGGTGTGTTTGTGTATGTATGTGTGTGCATGCATGCATATCACAGCTTACGTGTGGACAGCCTTGCATGTTATTCCTCATCTTCCACTTTGTTCCTTTAAGACAGGGTCTTGGCTTATTGGATGCTATGAGCACTAGGCTAACAAGCTCACTGTGTCTGGGCATTCTCTTGCCTCTGCCTCTGCCTCTCTGTGCAGTAGGAACCCTGAAATTATAGACTTGCTAGACCACCTCAGGCTTTATGTGAGTTCTAGGGACTCAAACTCAAGTTTCATGCTTACACAACAAGGACTTTACTCACTGAGCTGTCTCCCTATTCCTAATTAGAGGTTTTACAACAAGAACTGGTGCTGGTCTGGGAGGAGACAGGTGAGAATTTCTCTGGAAGCCCCACGGGGAGTGTGTGGTGACTATCTTATCTTGTTGCTCACAAGGACACAGAAAGAAGGCTGAAGAAGCATCTCGTGCAGTGTGATGTTGAGGTAGGAGGAGGCAGGGGGCAGGATGGAAGATAACCAACATGAAAGCAAGCCCCAAGCCTTTGGCCATGCAGAGATGCTCAGGGAGGGCTGTGTCAGGGCTCTGGCTTGCAAGGCAGTCAACACACTGCCTAGCCTTTGTCTGGGTGTATCTACTTCTGTCCTAGAGTAGATACTTGTAATCTGCACCACTGTCTTCAAGTTCTTTAATCTCTTTGTGTCTCCTTTAATCATCTGAAAGTAGGGACAATGAGTAACAGGACTTATCTCACGGCTGTTGTGAAAAGATTCAGTGTGCTTGTGGGACTGGACGTGCAGTGCGCTATTGGTAAGTGGTAGAGATGATCATTAAACTCCCTAGTCTTTAATAGTAGTCCTCTATCATCTCTATACACAGACACTCAAGTCCTCCATCTCTTTACGTAAGACACTCAGATCAGAACTCTCAGCCCTGCAGAATCCCAAAACTCAGTGGTTAGAATAGTGACGGACTCACGGTTGCTATTTAAATATTTGTGAGACAATCAAAGAAGGAAGCAAATTGTACCTTCTTTTTTCCCTCTCTCCCTCTTCCCCTCCCTCCTTCAGTCTCTTCTCTCCTTCTGCTAGTTCATCTGCCGATCTACATTTCTTGAAAGTTGATGGGTTATGACTGAGCTTATTCTTTCCTTCCAATAGTGGCAAAGTGTGTGGCATAAAATGTACCACTTAACTACAAAGTGTGCAGTTCAGTGGCATTCAATATCCTCAACTGTTTATCCATCTCTGCCATTCATCTCTAGAACATTTTCTCCCTCAACAAAAACCCAGGTCCCCTTGAACACTTTACTCCGGCTCTGGAAACCACTAGCTTTAAAAAAAGCATTATTTATTTATAAATCTATTTATAGATAATAGATTAGATGATAGATAGATGATGGATAGATAGGGTTTGTCCAGAAGTCAGAGGACAACCTGCAGGATCGCAGGAGTTGGTCTTCTCCCTCCACCTTGTAGGTCCTGGAGACAAACTCAGTTATGAAGCTTGGAGAAAAACTACTTTACCCACTAGGCCATCTTGTCGCGCCCCCCCCGCCCCATTTTACTTTTGAGATAAGGCCTCCTAAAGGCAGGGTGGCCTCAGGCTTTCTCTGTAGCCAAGGACGACCTTGCCCTCTCCCGTGCCCACCTCCCACGTGCTGGGACCACAGGTGTGTACTACCATGTCTGGCTGTGTGGTGCTAAGACAGCCCCAGGGCTTCGTGCGTGTAAACAAGTACTCACCCAACCGAGTCCCGTCCTGGCCCTGTTCTTCGTCCTGTATTTATGAATGTGACTGTCTGGGTACATCACACAGGTGCAATTACATTGCCCTTTGTGACAGCTCACTGTTTTTATAACCCTAGGCTGTGTCTTCCTGAAAAAGTGCTTTCTCTTCTGTGACATGCTGTAAAGACGGTGGTGCCTAGGTCATGGAGGAGTCACCATGTCGGTCATGGAGGAGTCACCATGTGAATGTGAGACAGTATACAAGGCTGTATGCCAGGAACTGGCACACAGACGTGTACAGTGTAACCCAAGTATGTATTCTAAAGTTGATGGGCATTATTATGTGTGTACTGTTTTATATGGCTATTGTAGGTGTTATAGCTCTGAGGAGAAAGGCTTCCCCAATAGAAGTGTTACAGTTTTGAGGGGGGAAAGGCTTTCCCAGTGGAGTGGTATAGCTCTGAGGGGGAAGGTTTCTCCGATGTAAGTGTTAAGCTTTGTGTGTGTGGGTATGTACCCTGCCGCAAGTGTGAGGGGAAAGGTATCCTGGCAGTCGGGAGCCAAGGAGTACCACAAAGTCACACTGCACAACGAACTTCACACAAGAGATTGGGACGATGAGTGCGTCTGCTCGAGTGAGAAGCAGCAGAGGACTGGGCAGAAGACAGGGTTTGTATAGGGTTTCTTGGGGAGGGGGAGGAGGAGGGGGAGGGGGAGGGGGGGAGGCAGAGCTTTCCAGGGTGGAGATTTCCATGGTGAGGATTAGGGAGATTTTAAATCTTTTTACTCTGTTGGGCAGAGCTTGGCTGCCTGTTTCTGGAGGGACTGGAACCAGCCCTTATGGTATGCCTTGATATAGATTCAGTTGTTCTGAGTTACATGGCCAGCTCCTGGCTTGCTCATGCTGAGTTGGGATTTCAGTGCAGGCAGTCTGAGTTGGGGGAGACGGTGCATCTCATTGGTGGTGCCCTGCCTTCGAGTGTGTGAGGCTGCAGGTCCCACCCAAAGTCTACCAATTTTACCATACACAACAGTGCCACATTGTGTCTACGGCCCCAGCCAGCCAGCAGCCACCATCTACATACACACTTGCTGGGTCAAGTTACCAGGATGAGTGTGGAAATGGTCCTAGGTGAGACGAAGGTACGTGACGATGGTGGAACATGAATGGTAGAAGAGTTGGCTGCTACTGAGTGTGCAGTTCCCTCCTGGTGGGGCCCTCCTTATGCCTGTGCATACATGCTGGCCACCTTTGGACCCTGGAGAGACGAGGCACCATGGAGGGGGCAGGGAGTATGCTCTGCACGTGATGCAAGCAGGCCACACCTTTCCTGTCGCTGGCACCAAGCCCGGCAATCATTGATCCCACGTGGCCCTTGCCCTGTTGAGATTAGAAAAAAAAAGTTTACTCTTCTGGGGCACCGCCCATCCAGGCTTTATTGCTTTCTGGACACCTTTGGGGACCGTCTGCAGTCCTTTAAAAGAGCAGCCTGTAGCGGACCAGTCTCTGTCCTGGAGATAAGTGCGCTCACATTCTAGTGCAGCTCGTGCAGCTCCTGGTAGCTCCGGCTCGAACCTTTTCGCACTCATGTCTGGGGAGGTGAGTTTGTTGCCTGGGCAAGGGCACCGCGAATATGTTCAAGGCTGGGAACCGGGGCTTCTGTTTGGGAACCACTGCCACCCATGTTTCCTCTTTTTTCCCTACGGCAGGCACCGATGTGTGAGGTGGACCTAGGTGGGGGCAAGGTGAAGGAGACCAACACGGTTGGCAGATGCCGTGTGTCCTCTTATGAGCGATACATACAGCCGTGTATGGCAGAACTTTTGGGCTCTGCCCTCTTCATCTTCATCGGGTGTCTATCGGTCATTGAGAACAGTCCAAACACCGGGGTTCTGCAGCCAGCCCTGGCTCATGGGCTGGCCTTGGGTCTCATCATCGCTATCTTGGGAAACATCAGGTGAGACCAGCTCCCCGCATTTAGCCTAGTGCCAATCTGGAGAGTTCTTGGGCATCCGCTTGGGGGTCTTACAAATGAGTGTGGGGTGGGGTCATCTAGCTCTGCAGCCTGTGAATTCTGTGGGCAGATCATACTCCAAGTCTATTGAATGGGAATAATACTGTTACATTTTTTAAAAGTTATTTCCCAAGCCAACGCACATCTATTGCTAACTATGCCTCTGCTCTATACTGAGTTCTCTTTTGATGCCATTCTATTCTCATGACAAATTGATGGAATAGGTCGTGTTATTCCCCCCCCCCCACCTTTTTTTTTTCAAAAGAGAAAGTCCACATCACCACTGGTATGTGCTAGAGGGGCGGAGTCAAGTTCAAGCTGCTTGACTGAGTGCCCAAAGTCGAGCGCCTCAGAAGAGAGTGTGAGGTGTTCAACCCTCTCTGTTCTTGCTGTTATGTTTTGGAAATGGATTAGGAAAAGTGAAGCAGCCAGGGTTTTACTTATCCACTGGGGTACACAGAAGGCTGCTGGGGCTCCATCCAGACAGGAGGTTTTTTTTTGTGGGGCCAGAAAGATGACCCTTCTCTTGCTTGGCTTTTAGCTGGGTAGGGGCTCAGTGGGATGGGTTGTGGGGGAGGAGGGCCATTACCTAGCAGAGCCAGCTGTTAAGGTGGCTAGCCCCCACTAGAAGCATCTGACTGAGTGAACTGCGCTAGGGTTGTTCTCTATTTAATTTCACTGAGAACCAGATCTGAGTGGGAACAGCGACATGTTGTTCTCTGGGAAACAAGAGACAAGGACACTTTCCTGTCTCTTTAAATGTCCAAGGGAGGCCGTGAGCAGGATGGAAAGCACATGACCTTCTATCTAGGTAGGCCTGTTGGTTTCCTGGCTGGGTGACCAAGGTGAGCCGCTGAGCCTCGGTGCAATTGTGTGACACCGAAGATGGCAACAGCTGGGGCTCAGGGAAGCCCCGAATATGACTAGCAGGCAGGGACGCATGCTGAACACACGCCAACATCTTGATTTTGCAATCTCTGTGTGTGGTGTGCAGATTTGAGTTTCTGGAGTGCTGAACCAAGCTCTGAAGAGCCTGGGAGAATTCATGCATGCTCTCCCTATGTGTCCCCCCCCCCCCAGAGCCTGGCTTTAGGGGCTGTTCTACCCATCCCCAGTTTCCTCTGTGTTTCTCATCTCATCACAAGGCTTTTCAAGGAAAATGGGGATTTGCTGCATTTCTGCTTGTGGCAGGGCCCAGGCCGACTCCAGCCTGCAGGCCCAGCTTGGGGGATGGGCTAGAGTACATATTCTCACTCCTTAGTGAGCCTTGGACCTTCCTTTTCCTCCTCGTTGTAGCGGTGGACACTTCAACCCTGCTGTGTCACTGGCAGTTACGCTCATTGGAGGTCTCAACATCATGCTACTTATTCCCTATTGGATCTCCCAGCTGTTTGGGGGACTGATTGGGGCTGCCCTGGCTAAGGTCAGTGATCCCTGCTGGGACTGGGCTGGTGGCTTGTCTCTGATGGGATTCCCTTCCCCTTCCCCCTCTTTCCTTAGGATTGATACTCAGTTTATGCTTGAAATCTTTCCATCAATCAAAAAAGCTAGTTCTGGGGCCAAGAAGATGTCTCAACGGTTAAGAGCACTGGCTGCTCCTCCAGAGGACCTGGGTTTGATTCCCAGCACCCACATGGCAACTCACAACTATCTGGAACTCCAGTTCCAGGGGTCCCACATGTCCCACATCCTCTTCTGGCCTCTGTGGTTGCCGGGCATGCATGTGGGACACAGACACACATGAACACAAAACACTCACACACATAAAAATAGAATATTTTCTAGAAAAGCAAGTTCTTTTTAGCTGCAGGTTCCCCATCTGCCAGCACTGGTGATGGAACATAGCTTCTTCAGTATGCTAGAGAAGGGCTCTGCAGAGACTTCATCCCCAGGCTGGGCCAAAGATTTTATAGCTTTACACATAATGCCATGGGCTCCTTCCTCCATCCCTTCCTCCCTTCCTCCCTCCCTCCATGCTCCCTCCTCCTTTTCATTCCCCCACCCCCTGCTTCTGACTCCCACCAGTGCCTGCTCCCTGAGGCTGACTCAGCCTCGCCCCCTCAGTCTGCCTTCCTAAGGCGTGCAAGTCCTGCCTGCATGTCTTCAGCTTCCAGAGCTAGTTTTGTGCTCTTTTCCTCAAAGGGGGTGCTCTAAGAAGGCTAGGCTTTAGGGCACAACACTGGTCCCTCAATTTTCAGGTGAGCACAGCAAGGTTCAGAGAGGTCTTGTAGCTCCCAAAGTCACATGTGAAAACGGGAGGAACTGGGATATGGGCCCAGATATGTCTCACTGTAGGTGGGTTGGAGCACAGGCCTGCCTGCTAGGCCTCCGTGCCCAGCTCCCGGCTGCTCTCTGTCCTAGGCTGAGTGGTTTTTCTCCACAGGCAGTGAGTCCGGAGGAGAGGTTCTGGAACGCATCCGGGGCGGCCTTTGCAACAGTCCAGGAGGAGGGGCAGGTGGCAGTAGCCCTGGGGGCAGAGATCATTCTGACAATGCTGCTGACACTGGCCGTGTGCATGGGCGCCGTCAATGAGAAGACAAAGGGCCCTCTGGCGCCATTCTCCATCGGCTTCTCTGTCGTTGTGGATATACTGGCAGGGTACGTGTCCCTCAGCAGTGGGATGGCCATGTCCAGATGTGGGCCCACATCAGGGCTGAGTGCCACAGCCTCAGTTGCCAACAGGGGCCAGGACAGTGTGGCAAATGGAGCTCGCGGGCTGGTTTGGGGCAGACACTGGGCAGTGGTGGGGTGTGTGGCAGCAGTGCTAGGTGATTTTTGGTTGTGTGAGAATATGGTGACTTCATTTAAGGCCAAGTCAGAGATCTGGATTTTTATAAAAATTCCTAATTTCTATAGTAGAAATAAAACATTCCCGAAGGGTGTTGCCTCAGTCTTACGAAAAATTTACCTCTACCCATGGTCCCTTTTATTTGAGCCTCTTGTTAGTTTTGGGAAGGCATTAAGGAGACAGAGTTGGGTAAGGAATCATTTCTTCCATTGTACAGGTAGTCAAATTGAGGTTCAGAAAGTCAAGAAATGACTTAGGGTCATTGAGAGTCTAAATAAAGTGACAGACCTGGGACAATCACCCACAAGTTGATGAAATGTGTAAGAAGCCGCTTCCAAAAGTTCAGTCCCTTTCTTCCTTTTGGATACAGAACCAAACCTTTCCCAGGGCTCAGGTCTCTTTGCTAACTAGGGTGTGCTGGGAATGCAGTAGATCAGTAGTAGTGGTGCTTTTCTGCCCCCTAGTGGCAATTGCTTTACTTACATGTGTGCTCCACCACTTGAACTGGCTTCTGGGTGAAGGCATGGGGTCTGCAGACAGAACCCAGGGCTAGAGGTGCGCCTTGGAAACAAGCTCCTTCTGGTGAGTCTGAGGTACATGCCCTGTTTAGTATGCTTGGGAAGCAGACCCCCTATAGAGGAGGAGGGCCCAGATCTGTGGCATGAGGACCTCAGTGAGCCAGCCACTCTATAGTGGTCATCAAGACATGCACATTTTGTCATTTGTTCCTGGCTACAACCTATGGGATGGACATTTTCATCCCAGTGGACATGCAGAGAGGCTAGACAAAGGTTACAGAGTGGGGTTGCCTGGGCTGGACTTTGAATGTAGGTCAACTGAACTCCCAAGTGGGTGACGTTCCTCGAACTTTGCTTTATAGACTTTGGAAAGAAAAGTTTCCATTTTTAACTCCTGTCATGACTAAGCAAGTGTTTTTGCTGGCCACTGTTCTAGAAGAGTGTGTGGGGAGTGGCCTACACGATGGTCATGTAGGAACCATCATTTGTCTACCTGGTACTAACACCCTTTACAGTCTCTGAGATCCACCCAGGACACCCTGGTATGGCAGTTTAGAGAGGGTATCTGGGTGGAGCAGTCTGAGATGCTGGTGAACTGTGTATCTCTGTGTCTGCAGGGGTGCAATCTCTGGAGCCTGCATGAACCCTGCTCGTGCCTTTGGACCTGCTGTGATGGCTGGCTACTGGGACTTCCATTGGATCTACTGGTTGGGTCCCCTCCTGGCTGGCCTCCTTGTAGGACTGCTCATTAGGTAGGATGGTGACAGGGAGATGACAGTTAGTAGATGGCACTCACTGGGACTTGGAGAGGAAGGGGAATCTTCAGAGGGAACTAACCTGGCTCTGTTTAGGGCCATTGGCTCCAAGTGACAGAAATCCACTTTCCAAAGGGGTCCAGCTGGCTCTTAGGATTGAGATGTTCACTTGTGGCTCTGGTTCCAAGTAGTGCTCTAACCTGTTCCTGGGGACTTGAGATATCTCAGAGACTTGCCTTTCCCATGTGTGGGCTTCACCTTTAGACAGGCTTACATTTATTTATTTATTACGTATACAATGTTCTGCCTACATATCAGAAGAGAGCACTGGATTGAATTGTAGATGGTTGTGAGCCACTATGTGGTTGCTGGGAATTGAACTCAGGACCTCTGGAAGAGCAGTCAGTGCTCTGAGCCATCTCTCCAGCCCCCAAGCTTACATTTTTTATTTAAAATTTTTTTTGTGCAATATGTTTGTATCATATTCTTTTCCCTCAAGATACCAACTCCTCCCAGGTCCTCCTCATCCCTCTTCAACTGTGTCTGGAGAGCTAGACCTGGGTTGGCTGTGTAGCCTTCTTGTACCATTGCCTACTGTAGTCCAGGGGCCTCAGGCCATGCCTAGGGCCTGACGTAAAACACCACTAATCACTCTGTTACTGATTTCTGAATGACCACCACAAGCATCCTTCTGCTGGAGGGGGCTGAACTCAGGAAGCCACCTGTCTGCAGAGTTCCGAGCCTGTGGCTTTGTAATGGGAAACTGGGTCTTTCTCCCACGGGCATGGAGACCTCACAGGACAATTTCCTTTTAGGCTCTTCATTGGAGATGAGAAAACCCGCCTAATCCTCAAGGCTAGGTGAAGAAGTGCTGCTGGGCATCCTCACTGCCTGGAGTCCTCAGCTGCCTGTCCTGAGCTGAGGACAGGACTACTGGATCACTTCCTGCAGGACTGAGCTCAGAAGAGCCACTGTGGCAGCAGCTGACCTTGGCCTGGCTTCTCAGGCAGACCAGATGGATGCTGCTATGTCCTGAGCAAGTTCCCATAACCTGGACTTCCTTTGTGTTCATGGACTGCGCCTGGGGAATGTGTGGCCAGCAATGTCTAAAGATAGCTGGAGACCACACAGACAAAGAGCTTTTCATGAGAGTGCGTGTCACAGGAGAGATGAGCAGGTGGAGAATGTGGCTGGCTGCTGAAGCTCATTTCCCCAGCCTGCTTTCTTTCTTTTTTTCATGTGTTGGGATTGGAGTCCAAGGTCTCATGCATACCAGGGGAGCACTTTGCTACCGAGACTCCTGCTCTCCCCGCCCTCTTTCCTCTTGACTCCACTGTTACAGAAGGGATTTCAGGAGCCCAATGACCTCTTCACTTCTCCAGCTGCCAATCTGATGCTGTAATAAATGTCTCAGTGTTTCCTTACAGCTGTCTTAGTCGACATCTCTTTCATTTAAGACATAGACATGGATGGGGAGGAAGTCAAGGTCTGGTGGAGCTTTACCTGCACAGAGTCTGGCTAAACATAGCAGAGGCCGGTTTCCTGAGTTGATGTAGGGACTTAGGGTATGGCCCCACTCGGAGCCTGTCCACACTCAGGCAGACCCACTGCGGCACTCAGGAGCATGTGTTCATTTTCTTAGACTATTTAAAAGATTGTGCTGAACACTGAATGTAGAGCCCAGTGTCTTGGTGAATGCCCAGTACTGTCTGGATAGGGACCAAGCCCATTCATTGTACTCCAGCTGGGGATGAGATGGGGGTGGGGCAAAACTGCAAGGGTTCCCCATGGGAGAATAGCAGCAAGCAGTATAGACTAGGCCCAGGGAGCCAGTGGCACGTGGGCGGGAGATATGAGTAGAATAAAGAAGAGATGTAAGACACAGTAGCACACATCTTCCAAGTACAGCATGTAGTTTCATACATAGATTTGATTCCCAACACTTACATGGTGGCTCATGACTATCTCTAACTCCAGTGTCAAGGGTATCTGGCTCCCCTCTCTGGTCTCCTGGGCATTGGATGCACATGGTGCACAGACATAAATACAGGCAAAACACCCACACACATAATCCAAGAATGCATCAAAAATATCATGTACCATGATCAAGTTGACTTCATCCAGAGATACAGAGATGGTTCAACATGTAAAAATAGATAAATGTTTAAAAAACTAGATAAATGTAATCTACTACACAAACAGATTAAAAGAAAAAAAACCCACATGGTCATCTCATTAGGTAATGAAAAAGCCTTTGACGAAACCCAACATCCCTTCATGATAAAAGTACTGGAGAGATACATCAACATAATAGAGACAATTTACAGTAAGCCCATATCCAATATTAATCTAGACAGAGAGAAACTCAAATGGAGCATGGTTCCTTAAAATCAGGAACAAGACAAGGATGTCCATTCTTTCCATACCTATTTAATAGTACTTGAACCCTTAGCTAGAGCAATAAGACAACTGAAGGAGATCAAGAAGATACAAATGGAAAAGTAAGAAGCAAAAAAAATGTATTTGTGGGTTATACAATTTTTTTTTACATAAAAGACCCTAAAAACTATGCTAGGAAACTTCTACAGCAGCTAACACTTTCAGCAAAGCAGCAGGATACAAAATTAACACACAAAAACCAGTAGCCTGCCTGTGTACAAATGACAGACTGAGAAAAATAAGGGAAACCACATTTTTAAAATAGCCTAAAATTTTTCCCCTTGGGATAAGTCTAACCAAGAAAGTGAAGGACTTGTATAATAAAAACTTTAGCCAGGCGGTGGTGGCAAAAATGGAGTGGTGGTGGTGATGGCGGCACATACCTTTAATCCCAGCACTCAGGAAACAGAGACAGGCGGATCTCTGAGTTCAAGGCCAGCCTGGTCTACAGAGTGAGTTCTACGACAGCCAGGGATACACAGACAAACTCTGTCTTGAAAAACAAAACAAAGCAAACAACCCCCTTCCACCCTTCCACACTTAAAGACATTGAAGAAGACATCAGATGATGGAAAAGCCTCCTGTGCTCACGGATCAGTAGGATTAATACAGTGGAAATAGCCATCCTACCAAAAGCAATCTACAGGTTCAATACAATCCACATTAAAATTACAACAGGCTGTAGTTCTCATACCCAAGAACACCTGATTTTTAACAAAGAAGCTAAAAATACACACTGGAGAAAAGAGAGCATCTTCAACAAATGGTGGTCAAACTGGATAGCTGCATGTAGAAGAATTCATGTAGATCCATACTTATCACTGCACAAAACTCAACTCCAGATGGATCAAATACCTCAACATAAAACCAGATATCCTGAATCTGACAGAAGAGAAAGTGGGGAATAGGATTGAACTCATTGGTACAGGAAAAGATTTTCATTATCAGAGGCACTAGGAACAACAATCAAGAAATGAGACCATAAAACTGAAAAGCTTCTGTATGGCAAAGGACATCATGATTTGGACAAAGTGGCAGGCTATAGAATGGAAAAGAGCTTTACCAATTACACATCCAATAGAGGGTTAGTACCTAAAGTATATAAAGAACTACAAAAACTGGACATCAAGAAAACAAATAAAAATGGGGTACAGGACTAAGGAGAGAGTTCTCTAAAGATGAAACACAAATGGCTGAGAAACACTTTAAGAAATGGTTAATGGAATCATGAGATTCGCAGGCAAATGGATGACACTAGAAGAAACCATCCTGAGTGAGGTAACCCAGTCACAAAAAGAGAAACATGGCATGTACTCTCTCATATATGGATTTTAGACATAGATCTGGGGAGTGCCAGCCTACAATCCCATGGTCAGAGAGTTTGGGAAACAGAAACTTCATTTAGTGGCTGATCGAAGAAGAGGCAGACTCCCCTCGGTTAAGTACTGAGCTGAACTCAAGAAAGCCAGTAACAGAGAGGGAGGACTGATGACCAAAGGGATTAAGACTGGGCTGGTTTAACCCCCAGAAACAGCTGACCAGACAAAGGTTAACTCTTGAATCCCAGGCATCAGCCTGGGAATCCAGCATGGGACTGATCAATACCCCCTGAATTTGGGTGTCAGTGAGGAGGCCTAGGGAATCTATTGAGCCTTGGGCAGCAGATCAGTACCCATCCCAAGTATACACACGGACTTTGGACTCCCATAGAACAATGTGAGGTGCACTCTCACCCTGAACTCTTGGGGAAGGGTCTAGGCCCTGCCCTATATGAAATGACAGACTATGGACACCCCCATGGAGGGCCTCACCCTCCTGGGGGAATGAGGGGATAAGGGGGGGGTGGTTGGGGGGAGGGCACGGGAGGAGGGGAGGGAATGGGAGAGGGACCTGGAACTGACTTGTGTAGCAACCTCATTTCTTATCTAAATTTAAACTGGAAAAATAAATAAAAAATAAAAAAAAGAAATGGTTAATGGGGCCAGACAGTGGTGGCACATGCCTTTAATCCCAGCACTCGGGAGGCAGAGGCAGGTGGATCTCTGTGAGTTCGAGATCAACCTGGTCTACAAGAGCTAGCTCCAGGACAGCCTCCAAAGTCACAGAGAAACCCTGTCTTGAAAAAAGGAAGGGAGGAAGGAAGGTCAGTATCTTTAGTCATCAGGGAAATGCAAATCAAAACTGCTTTGAGATTTCATTTTTACAGCAGTCAGAATGGCCAAGATCAATGAAACAAATGATAGCTCATGCTGGTGAGGATATAGAGGAAGGGAAATATTCATTGCTGATGGGAATGCAAACTCACACAGCTAGTATGGAAATCAGTGTGGCAGTTTCTCAGAAAGCTGGGTGGGAATAGATCCTTGGGCTTTCTGACTAGTGTTCTCATTAACAGAAGATACCAGAGGATCGAGGTAACCATCAACCCAGCCATAAACCCTGTGATGTACAACGGTGACCTGACTGTAAGAAATGCTGGTGCACTAGCGGCACAATGTTGTAGGAGTAACCAACCACTTTCTGATTGGCGTTAAGGTCCCCTCCGTGAGATGAAACCCATGTCTGACACTGTTCAGGTGGCCAAGAACCTGAGACTAGATAGGCCTTTGGCCTAGGAGAAAACCAAATGCTATTGTTTTGCTAAAGGAACATAGCAATAACATGGCTCCTAATGATCTTTTGCTGTACCCATAGATCAGTGCCTTGCTCAGCCATCATCAGAGAAGATTCCTCTTGTATATGGGATCCAACAAAGAGACCCACAATGGGACAATGAGCAGAGAGTAAGAGATTTTGGGACACTCAGTCCTAAAATCGGTGTCTTCATCAGGCTCCTCAATCCAGGGCACACGGATCTTTGTGGAAGAAGACTTGTAGGGAAAAGGGGCCAGCCAAAGAAACACACCCTGAGCAGAGCCAAAGAAACACACTTTGGCCCAGCAACCATAATCAAGGAAATGTACCCTGACCCTGAAACCAGTGCTAAATAAACACACTTTGTCCCTGGAATCAAAGCCAGTGAAAGAAATACACCTTGGCTCTAAAATTGGAGCTGAAAGGCCAAAAAGGACCAGTGGAAGAAACATAATTTGGCCCTGAAACCAGAGCCAAATCTGACCCTAAACCTGTGTAGAAAACTAACCAATCCCTGAGCAGGAGACCTAGCCATCTTAAGCTCAGGGACTGAAATCTGATCAATTCCCACCCTAGAAATCTCCCTGGAAAAACTCTGCCCCTTAAGAAAAAACCCTGTGTCTGTTCAGCTTGTGGCTGTTCTGACTGCCCAGCTGATCTCTGCTACCCTGGCAGAGGGCAGCCACTCTCCTGGATTCTTCCCTTCCAATAAATCTCTTGAATGAGGTTTGGCTGAGACCTTCCTTGCCAGAGCAGAGACGACCCTGGTTGGAGCAGAGCAGAGCAGAGCAGGGCTGAAACACTTTTGACTGTGGAAACCTTCCCCGGCAAAGCCAAGTTGTTACACTCCATCCCTGGGGGACTGGAGCCCAGCTGTAACAACTTTGCTGGGGAAACCCTCTCCTGCTGGAGCAGAGCTGATACACTGGGGAAGCCTTTCCCTGAAGCAGGGATGTAAACTGCTATGATTACTGTGACCTGTGGTATTCCTTGGCTCCTGAGGGCCAGAATACCTTTCCATCTGAACTGTAACACTCAGCATTCTTTGGCTCCCAAGTGCCATAATCCATCCCATCGGATCTGTCAAAATGTTTACAAGAGTTAGAAACATTTAAAGAGCCAATGGGGATGAAGAACTCCAAGGAAACAGTACCCTCCAGACACAACAGGACTGATGTACATATGAATGCATAGAGACTGTATCAGCATGCATAAAGTCTCTACAGTTTCAAGTCAGACGTGGTCCCAGTGCAGAAGTGGGGAAGTGGACACAGGCTCCTCTGATCCCTAAACGGGAAACTATCTGCAACTGATACCTGATTGCAAAGTTAAAATCAGTTTTCTCCAACGAAA